ATAGGTCAAAACTGGTGCGTTTTCAGCATATACAGCAAAAGGGGTGTCCGGATGCCATGAAAACTGCAGTCTATGGGGTGTTCAGGACACCGCAGGAATTTTTGAGTGAAGCAACAGGCCTGAGACATCCTTTCAATTTGCCAGTGTCTGATGATACAGACAACATAGAGACGATTGCAAAAGTTCTGCAACTGGGGAAACTTGGCACAATGAAGTTTAGACTCCAACAAGTGCAGAAGTATAGGACCCTGGCGTCTGAGTTGGAGTCCCAAGAGAAGCTTCTCCATGAAAGCATGCACCCTGACCTACAGACAGTTATGAGGCCCAAGCGCATTTTACTTTTTCAGAGGATGATGGAAGATGCTGGCATAGCTGACAGCAATCTCTGCGGTGAACTCAGGTGTGGTTTTCGTTTGACTGGACAGCTGGAGCCGTCTGGTCAGTTTAAGCCTCGTTTTAAACCAGCAGAGTTGTCAGTTGAGGAGTTGAAACGCTCTTCGAAGTGGGCGAGGCATGCTGTTGCTGGATCTTGCAAACGCGTTGGTGAAGATAAAGACGTAGCTGCTGCAGTTTGGGAGGAAACAATTGCTCAAAGAGATGCTGGTTGGATCAAGGGCCCTTTCTTGGCTGCTGAACTTGATGAGAAGTTTCCAGGAGGTTGGGTGCCGTCAAAAAGATTTGGAGTAGTTCAAGGTGCCAAAGTGCGTGCTGTAGACGACTTCAGCGAGTTTCTGGTTAACGCTGCTTGTGGCACAGGTGAGCAGATTGTGTTGCAAGGTTTGGACGATGTGGCTTCAGCGGCCAAATACATGTTGAGTGCGCCGGGCGAAGATGGTAACATTTGGGTGCCCTCTGTAGAGGGTTGTCATGTTTGCAGAGGTCAAATTGACGCTGGCTGGCAAAGAAGTGAGTTAGGTGACTTGCAAGGCCGTGCACTTGACTTGAAAAGTGCGTACAAGCAACTTGCAAGGAGCCCTGAGGACGATTGGTGTTCCATTTTAGCAGTTTGGTCCCCGGAAAAAAGGGGAGACGCTCTTCTTTGAGTCGGTGGCGTTGCCATTTGGCGCTGTCAGCGCGGTGAACGCTTTCAACCGCGTGGCAAGATGCCTCAGGCTCATCCTTTGCCGCTTGTTCCTGCTCACCAACACTTCATTTTTTGATGACTACTGCCAGCTGGAGTTTCAGCCCCTATGTACGTCGGCCTGGAAAACTGCAGAAACTGTGCTTGCTCTTTTGGGTGGAAGGTAGCCATGAGTGAGAACAAACGGCTGCCTCTTGGAAAGACCTTCAATATGCTTGGCGCTGTGATCGACCTGAGCAGGTCTATGGAAGGAGTGGTGCAGATTTCAAACAAGCCCTCGAGGATAAAAGAGCTCCTTGCGTCGGTTAAGGAGTTGGCGCTAGGTGATGATTTCTCAGAGTCGATGCTGCAATCCTTGAGGGGCCGGTTGTTGTATGCAGCTGGAAATACTTTTGGCAGGTGCACACAGGTCGCTGTGCAGGCTCTTGGAAGAGTGGCAAGGCGTGGCACCAGCATTGCCTTGGACGAAGAAATGATTACTTGCATTGAGTTTGCGGTGCGCACTTTGGCTGAGTCCTTGCCTCGCACTATACATGCTTGGAGAGACGAATGGCCGGTGTTGATCTTCACTGATGGAGCCTGCGAGAACGAGGGTGCGACCGTGACCTTTGGAGCTGTCATTTGTGATTCTTTAACCAATTCCTACTTCTTTTTTGGGGATCATGTTCCTCAAAGCTTTGTGAAGGCATGGATGGAAGGTGGAAAGAAACAAGTTATTTTCCAAGCTGAACTCTTTCCGATATGGATTGCAAAGGTGACATGGAGAAACTTGCTACAAAGGAGGCAAGTGCTTTGGTTTTGTGACAACGAAGCAGCAAGATCTGCGATGATTCGTTCTTATTCACCTTTGCTGGATAGCATGCAGCTCATCAGACTTTGTGCCGCTGAAGATGTGGATGCCCAATCCACTAACTGGTATGCGCGAGTTCCAGCCAAATCAAATTTGTCAGATGCTGCTTCACGTTTGGATTTCAGCTGCTATGCACTCCTGGGATTCACAAAGGTGATGCCCAGTTATGCCCACGATCTTGGCTAAGTGGGGTGGTTGGCGTGGAACAGACTATGCCATATCGAAAGCGATAACAATCCCCGCTTGGAAAAAGAAAGATCACGTTTGTGCGAGTGACAGCAGTTGTTTTCAGATTTCGTTTGCATTTCGTGAAGCCTCGTTTATGTTTAAGTTTTGGTGCTTTGACCGTTTTTTTGTATAAATATATTTATATATTGGCCTTTGGGTTCGATATATAATATATTTATGTTTGTGTTGTCGTGCGTAGGGTAGGTAGGAGGAGTTAACGCGTTGCAATAAGTCTGGTTTCACTTGTGATACCTCTTTATTGCGAAGCGTTCTTAGCGTAGAAGTACGCGCCTCCTCTTGTACCTTCCCCTCGCGACGCGCGCGTGTTTAGTCACGCTGCTTTTGGGTTCTCTGTGCTTGGGTTTGCTCACAATGGTGAGTGCACTCAACCCAAATGAAACTGTGCAAACAAGTTGTGACTGAAACCTCACTTCTTTGTGTAGAGGTGTAAGAGGTTGTTTTAAGGTATGTTCACAACTGTTTTACTTCAACACAGGTTTGGAGAAACAATTGTTTAAGTATCTCACGTCGGTAATGAATGTCACAATGGTGGCCATTTTGTTTTAAGGGTGGGTGGGTGGGACCGTCCTGCCCCACGCGCGATAGTTTGACCCCCCCTCCACACCCCCACCGGCGTGGAACAGACTATGCCATATCGAAAGCGATAACAATCCCCGCTTGGAAAAAGAAAGATCACGTTTGTGCGAGTGACAGCAGTTGTTTTCAGATTTCGTTTGCATTTCGTGAAGCCTCGTTTATGTTTAAGTTTTGGTGCTTTGACCGTTTTTTTTGTATAAATATATTTATATATTGGCCTTTGGGTTCGATATATAATATATTTATGTTTGTGTTGTCGTGCGTAGGGTAGGTAGGAGGAGTTAACGCGTTGCAATAAAGCACTTCCCAGTGCTACTTTGTACTACAAGGCTTGCAAAGTCGTTCCCAGTACTACTGTGTACTACAAAGCTTGCAACAACTACTTCCCAGTACTACTGTGTACTACAAAGCTTGCAACAACTACTTCCCACTACTACTTTGCACTACAAAGCTTGCACAAAGCAGTTCCCAGTACTACTTTGTACTACAAAGCTTGCACAAAGTCGTTCCCAGTACTACTGTGTACTACAAAGCTTGCACAAAGCACTTCCCAGTACTACTGTGTACTACAAAGCTTGCACAAAGCACTTCCCAGTACTACTGTGTACTACGAAGCTCGCACAAACTACTTCCCAGCACTACTGTGTACTACAAAGCTCGCACAAACTACTTCCCAGTACTACTGTGTACTACAAAGCTTGCACAAAGCACTTCCCAGTACTACTGTGTACTACAAAGCTTGCACAAAGCACTTCCCAGTACTACTTTGTACTACGAAGCTTGCACAAAGTCGTTCCAGTACTACTGTGTACTACAAAGCTCGCACAAACTACTTCCCAGTACTACTGTGTACTACAAAGCTTGCAGAAACACGTTCCCAGTACTACTGTGTACTACAAATGCACAAACACGTTCCAGTACTACTGTGTACTACAAAGCTGCACAAACTACTTCCCAGTACTACTGTGTACTACAAAGCTTGCACAAACACGTTCCCAGTACTACTGTGTACTACAAAGCTCGCACAAAGCACTACTCCCAGTACTACTGTGTACTACAAAGCTTGCACAAAGCACTTCCCAGTACTACTGTGTACTACAAAGCTCGCACAAACACGTTCCCAGTACTACTGTGTACTACAAAGCTTGCACAAAGTACTTCCCAGTACTACTGTGTACTACAAAGCTTGCAACAACTACTTCCCAGGACTACTGTGTACTACACATCTTGCACAAACACGTTCCAGTACTACTGTGTACTACAAAGCTTGCAACAACTACTTCCCAGTACTACTTTTGCATTACAAAGCTTGCACAAAGCACTTCCCAGTACTACTTTGTACTACAAAGCTTGCACAAAGTCGTTCCCAGTACTACTGTGTACTACAAAGCTTGCACAAAGCACTTCCCAGTACTACTGTGTACTACAAAGCTTGCACAAAGCACTTCCCAGTACTACAAAGCTTGCACAAAGTCGTTCCCAGTACTACTGTGTACTACAAAGCTTGCAACAACTACTTCCCAGTACTACTGTGTACTACAAAGCTCGCACAAACTACTTCCCAGTACTACTGTGTGCTACAAAGCTCGCACAAAGCACTTCCCAGTACTACTGTGTACTACAAAGCTTGCAGAAACTACGTGAAGGCTCAGCCTGCTGATCCTGCTGTTTCTTAATACTCGGCTTAGAGTTTTAACTGGGTGCGTACACACTGGTGGTTATTATGCGCTCTCTCTTGATTCTCTTGCGACACGCTTCCTCGCGATTCCTGCGTGGTTCGCGCTGCGTACTTGTTGTGCGTGTGTCGCTTTAATCTAGAGACTTCTATTGACATGTTCTGACAAGGTTCTTTATGTTTGGTTTGTTGAGGCTGACTATTGCTTCGACTGATTTTGTTTGAACATGAACCATGTCGAACGCTTGTTAAAACTGAAGTTTATTTTCTGATGTTTTCTTTTTGGATTGTCTGCATGTCGATGTTATCGTGTACAGAAACAATTTTGAAGAATCCTGTCAATCCAAAAACATTGAACTGTTTAACCATCTCCTAACAGTACAGACAAGAATAAATGTTTGATTGGCCATTTCCTCTGCAAGAAGGGTAGGGTAGGGAGGGAGCTCTTCGAATTTGAAGAGCTATGATTTTCTTTTAGCAGAAGCCATTTCGTTCTCTGTGCATGGATCCCCTGGACTTGAATCCTTTGACGGTGACACAGTTGATTCGCTTACTGCTGAACATTTTGTATGAACTGGCTAGACGATTTAGGATCCAAATTCCGACACCACCTTCAGAAGCATCTCCACATCCTCTTCATTGCAGTGAACCTTGCAAATTTTGCGATTGTACCTGTGCCAGGGCAGGCAAGCATCGCACCCATAGGTGCACGCTGCATTGGCGTTAACGTGATGGTGACAGTTCCTCTTGAGACGCGGGGGGGTGAGGCCAAAGAGGGTGAGGAGAATGATGCTTTGAGTGTAGCTGAAAATTTTGATTTTGAAGCATCACTACCTAGTGCACCGTATGCTCAAAGTGTAGCATCCAACGATGGCGCTGTTGGTAGATCGTTGGGTTTGCCAGAAGTGACAGAGCCTGGCACTAGCAGCATTCCAGTGCAGAGTGCGCTGCAGAGAAACTTGACTGGGAGCAATGACAGAATTTCACAACAAATTTTTGATGCTACGTTGATTTTGGCCAGAAATGGAAAACTGGCACCTCCTATTCAGTTGGGGCTGCCGAAGCTTGACTTGGTATCAGATTTGTTCCGACTGCCAGTGCTGGGACGTTTGTCACACATTGAAGATGCCATGCATGACACGACATTGAATATGAGGCCCACAGCTGAAGGAGTATACAACATGCCTTTTGCGAAGAGGCGACTGATGACATCCAAGCTGGCCAAGTCAGATGATGCATTGCTGACGTCAGCTCTGAAGAAGCTGCGGAACCTGGTGCTATTCGGGCCCGAGGACAGCCGCTTGGGGAGAACCTTGTTGAGCTCAGCAGGGGCAGTTGTAGGAGAGGATGTCTTACAACAAACTCTGCGGGACTGCTTTGCTGGTAAAGCGGTTGCAACGCTTGTCAAGAGAGCTTCTGACTTCACTAGGTTTGCAGAATTCCAAGTGACCTGCAACAATGGGAGGCCGCTGAACCGATCGGAGCATGACCTTTACGCCTACTTGTGCTACTTGCGTCAACAAGGAGCTGGAGCCACAGCAGGTGAATCTTTCATATCTGCTTGGAACTTCATGCAACACACTGTGGGAGCTGGTGCGAGTGGAACGCCAGACATCATCTCTGGAAGAGTCAGAGGTGCGTCCAGAGACTTGATGGCAAAGAAGCGCAAGCTCCAGCAAGCGCCGCCGTTGCCAGCAGAGGTTGTTTGGAAGTTGGAGGGCCTGATGACAGAACGGATCCAGCCCAAGATAAAGGCTATCCTGGGGTTAATGCTATTTTGTTTGTTTTCTTGCTCCTGGTTTGCCGACGCTGCTCGTGCCCGGAGGTCAGTTTGCTACCACTTGAGTCAGAGATGTTGGCACGATCGTGCTTTCCACCCATTGAGCTGGACCAGTGCTTGGTGCACAAGTTATCCGGGATAGTGCATGGAAAGGAGACGACAGATAGTCTCTTGTGTGGACGAGCTTTATCCACCAACACGCGCCCAGTGGATTTCCCTTGGAGTGAAAGAGAGGCTCATGAATTTTGTGAGCAATGCAATAGGGCACGGCACCGTGCCTGAGATTTGGCGGGGACAAAAAGTTTGGCCTGGTGATCATCAACTCTTTCTCTTCTGATGGGGAACGTGCAATTGTTCTATTTCCAACTTTATTCAGACTTTGTTGAAATCTCAACAAATCATTTGAAAGAAATCGATTGCTGGCAGCCGATTGTGTGCCGACTTTAGCACGTGAAGGCGTCAGGTGAGGTGTGGAATTGAGTTGAAAGGTTTGACATGATCATGCAGTGAAATTTCAATTTGATTTGTGGCACCCGTGCTCAGCAGCGGAATGTTGCGACTGAAGCAGATGGACGATGTGAATGTTTTGACAAACTTGAGTTTGCATGGTGTTTCAATCTCTTTTCCGCTTGACATTTGTTCCGTTGCAATGCATTTGACAGCGTCTATGCACTTAACCTTTGCAAGTTTGGGTTGCACAATTGATGTTTGTCCCAATACTTTCACGGACTAAGGCTTCAACCTCTGCTATCGGTGACAGGTTGGCAGAGCGTCTGAGCCCATGGCTTCTATGGAATCTGTGGCAAGCTTCAAAGCGCGTGCATCTGAAATAGGCATGGCAGATACCTTGGTGCAATGGTTGACAGATGCTGGAATTGATACATTTGGTAAACTGGCCTACATTTGCAGCGTGAGCCCAGCTTCTGGGGATGACAAACCTTTGAAGGACGCTTTGAAACAGTTGGTTGTTGATGGTAACCAATTGACACCTCAGGAGCTGATCCTTATTCGACGTCTCTGGTTTGAATCATACACCTTGACAGTGACAGAAATTCAGAATAAGATGCAGAAGAATCCTAACGACACACCCAAGACAATTCCCCTTGCAGAGAGACTGGTCAGGGTTGAAGCGCAGCGTGAGCGTCTGAAAGGTTTGATCTATGACCAGTTCTTGGAGCCAGCTCATGCACTGACAGACGAGGTACAAGCAATGCTGGAGGACGGTGTGGTCACCTACCTAGCTCCTGAGAAGTGCGTTTCAAGGCATGATGAGATTCAGTGTACAAAGAATGATCAACCGTTGAGTTTTGATGCTCAAGGCAATGTCAAAGTCACCAAGGCTGAGAACCAGTTGAATTGTGATGTGACAGGTGAGCTTAGGCTAAGACAATGTTTGACTCGAAAGGCTTTGGCATTTGATCAGATCAAGTTGTGCTCGTTTGATGTCATGGAAACTTGGAACAATGCAATGGTACAAGCTTTGATGAGGAAGCCCCCGGCGGGGCACAAGTATGTAACGATTCAACAAATCATGGCAGCTGACAGAGAGCTTTGGAGTTTGTTGTCGCAGAGCACACGCGGCAAATTGAAGGTGATGGTAGGGCAGCCTCCCCCGCTTGATGTTGAGTTGGAGACTTTGAGACAATCCCCACCGGTGCTGTGTTTTATGACGCCACTGCCAGGACAGACGCAAAAGGTGGAGACGCCCAAAACGCCGTTACAGGCGGCTTCAGCGCCGGGATTGCCTAAGACCCCGCAGCAGCCTTCAAAGACTCCGTCGGGCACCAAGAAAAAATTGAGGGAAGTGGCACAACAGTGAAAGAATTGTTGCAAAACTTGCCACCAAACTGCACTTCAAAGACGGAACAGAACAAGTTTATTTGCTTGCACTTCAACAATGGCACGTGTAAGCGACAGAAGGCGGCATCATGCAACATGGGCTCGCGTATCTGCTACTTCAAGGGCTGTGGCAAAAAGCGGCCGTACATCGAGTGTGGCCACTGACCTAGTGATGATTTGCAGGTGAGTGAACAACAGCATTCTTCAAGAGATGTGGCTGTTTTTGTGGAACTATGTGCGGGCAGCGCAGTCTTGTCTTCAAAGGCTTCCAAACGAGGTTTCCAGGCATTTGCAATCGATCATGAAATGAATCGGTTCTTGCCCAAATCAAAGGTTTTCTTGCTGGATCTACCGCACGAGACATCACAGCAACTTTTATCGGACATGTACAATCAGATGAGGCCTCAGTGGACTCATATGGGACTCCCTTGTGGCACAGCTTCTAGAGCTCGTGGAAAACCAGTTTCAGTGAGGGGGGGCCCCTCGGCCGCGGCCGTTGCGTGATCAAAACAACCTTTGGGGTTGGACTGCTTGACAGAATCCGAGAGGCACAGAGTTGACTGTGCAAACAAGGTCTACAGAACTGCTGAGCATGTGCTGTGAAAATTTTTTTCTTAGAGGCTCTGGGTATCACGGGAAAACTCGGAGCGTTCATGGCTATGGGCCATTTTGGCCATGTTGGTGAAGCAACGCAACAATACTGAATACACTGCGTGGTATTTTAATTTGGCCGATACCACTTTTGATGCATGTCAACACGGTAGCTTGTTTGCAAAAACAACCAGGCTGAAAGGCACTCCAGGCATTTTTGACCATTTGGCCGGTCGCCGCAGTGGAGATCATGAAAATGCAAAATGGCATGTTCAAAAGCTTAATTCTTCGTGGGTTTCCAACACTGCTGCAGAAGCTGAGCACCCCAAACTGTTGGCTCAGCGCAGGGTTGATGCGTTCGCAGTGCAATTACCATCTGGTCTATTGGACTTCACACGGCGACAATTTAGGCCGGATTTGTTGCAACAGGCTGACAAACAGCACTGCTTGGCACAACAACTGATACCGGAATATCGAGAGATTCTTTATGTTGATGCCCCCCCCCACGACGGGGGCATTCAAAATTTTGTGTGTGCCTTCAACTGCGGGGGACAACTACAAAGGCCCAACTGCGGAAACAAAGCACAAAATTGGGTTCTATTTTTCACCGGCAGAGCACTTGGACAGGGCCACTCAACTGAAACACCCTGCAATGGAGTTCAACGTGGTACCCGACGTGCTGAGGGTCAATTTCTTCAGGCTATGCACTTTGTGGCCTCATGCAATGGCTCAAATGAGAATCTCTGCGCTGAAGGATGTCATGAAGTTGAAGCTTGAAATGGCAGAGCAAGAGAAACGAATGAGAGAAGGCATGGAAAACCATGTGAGAGTTGTGACAGAGGGAAAGCCCTTGTTATTGTGGAGGAAGCTGCTGGAAGAGACAGCTTTCCCTGATATGAATGTTTGAAAATATGGAAGAGGGCGTGCATTTGACAGGTCCTGAAGACCCCTCTCCACTTTACATTACAAAGTACCCTCCGGCCACTCTGACGGTGGAACAGCTTGACCACCAGGCAATTTGGAAACGCAAGGCTTTGATGGGTAAGGCGATGACAGAGGAAGAGATTGAGCAGTCTGCTGATTTGAAGCGTGAGAGCATGGAGGAAGTTGCGGCGGGGTTCTTGGAGGGGCCTTCCACTGAGGCCCAACTAACCCAGCGTTTGGGTTCTGATCAATGGAGCCTGACAAAAAGGTTCTGTCTTTATCAAGGCGAGGAAAAGAAGATTAGAGTATTAGAGTTATTGACAATTACAGAGATTCTGGGATTAACTCTGCTTACGCCTCTTCTTCATACTTGTCGTTGCAGGACACAGACTTTATAGTAGGACTGCTGCGTTTTATGATGTTGGTATGTGCACGACGTGACAAGGTGGTGGTGCACTTGAGCTCAGGTGAGATCTTGGAGGGTGACTGGAATCATGCAATGCTGTCAAAACCTAACTGGCTGGGGAGATGCGCTGATCTTAGCAAGGCATACAAACAAGTGCCAATCTACAAAAATTCCCTGAAGCACGGGGTCCTGGGCTTTAACACGCCGTCTGAGGGCTGGCAGCTATTCACGACTAGCTCCCTCCCGTTTGGTGCTTCATCTGCAGTGTTCTCCTTTAACAAGATCGGTCGGAGTCTATGGCATGTGCTGGTGCATAAGTTTGGATTCATCATGAGCGTTTTCTATGATGATTTCCCAGTCTTTGAAGTTAAACCTCTTGCAGATTTATCGACAGATCGTAGATGCAGTCCTGAACTTTTTAGGATGGCGACATGCAATGCAAGGGAAGAAAGCGGTGGGTTTTTCAGCTGTACCTATTGCTCTAGGCGTTCTGTACCGCTTGCAAGAACTTTGGTCAGGGCAATTGACAGTGAGCAACAAGCCTGGGCAAGTGGAACGTATCCTGGACTTGACAAAGCAGCTGAAAAAGGAGGCGATCCACAAAGACTGCAGCATCCCTTGCAGGCGCAGCGGGTTTGCAATTACCTGGAAGGGATTGCCAAGTCGGTGACGCCTCGCGTGATTGGACTTCAAGATTCTGACACACCTATAATTATTTACAGTGATGGTGCGTTTGAAAGTGGGGCTGGAACATGGGGCGCGTTTGTTTACGACCCCCTGGACAACAAGCGATGGGGTTTTCCTGGGACGGTTCCTGAAGTGCTCCTACGATTTTGGAGCGAAACTGTTGGTGCGCAACTCATTTGTGAGATGGAACTTTTTGCCTACATTTGTATTCGCTGGCATCTCAGACATTTGCTGCATAGAAGATATGGTTTAATTTTCATTGACAACGAGTCCTCAAGGATGACAATGATAAAGCGTAGCTCTGTCTCCAACGCAATGTTCCTCTTGGTATCTATGATCAGCCTCCTCGATGCCATCCTCCCATTCAGTGCTTGGTGCGAAAGGGTGCCTTCGACATCCAACCCGGCTGACTTACCAAGTAGGAATGACTCTGAGACTTTGTGCCGAATGTTTAATGCAGTGAACCACGGCGACATACCGTTGCCTCCATACATGCTAGGTTTTCTCATGCGGAAGCAGTTTGATGTGGACCTAGCTGAACTAGTGAGATTCGAGGCAGTCAAGTGATCACGTGCGGCTGAGACTGAGGGGGAAGAGCAAGCCACTTTGGTCGAAATGTGACCTTTGAAACAAAAGATATGTCCACTCACTTGACTCTAAGTGTGGGACGTGAAAACCTGCGGTTGCAGAAACTTTCAACCGGACTTGACAATTTTTCCCCCGACAAGTCGCTGAAGAGAAAGGAAGGTGATTGCTGCACAATCAATCTTGTCGCATGTCCGAACTTTTTCACTGATGTTGCTGCATGATTTTATTTTCCGAAATTTTGGATTTG